AGGTGATAAAATTTAGTCCATTTCGCGTCTCATTAATCAGAACCGCGTATTAATTGATAAGCGTAAATACCGTAAATGTATCGACCAAGTATAGGTAGTACAGGCATAATAATAGTCTCCAGGGGAGTATTAAGACATTAAACGCGAGTAAATAGATGGAATGGAGAGGTCTAAATGGTTTGAAATTGTTTTGGAACGGTCCGTACACTCAATTGATTTATCGTCTGTTACTAGAGAGCCATTAAAATTAATGCAGTATCATTGTAATAAGGAATATAGGTTTTATGATACTGACCAATATCAAATGTATAATTGTCAATACTAATTGTAATCCAACTGTAATTAAATTACCCTTAATATCTAGTATAGTAGTTGACGTATAAGAAGTGAGTGTGAAAAAGTTAAATGACGTATACCTGTTAAGAACATCGTAAAATGTGAATAATTAGGCAAAGGGTCCGCATCCACACAGCCATATTCGATATCACTAAAATAAAATTTGTTTAAAATAAATGGTAAGTACTAAAATATTATTAATTATTACTAGGTAGGTACGTAATTAATTAATGGCTTCGAATTTCTCTCCTTTCACATAGAACCCAGAATCAAACGTTCCATATGAAACTTCCCATCTTAAAACAACATTTACAGAGTAGGTGAAACTTACTAGACCACTAATAATTAATTTCGAAATTGAATCTGAATTATGTACTGTGAAGAGAATTAATTTATGAAAATACTAGTAGTTGTCCGTAGTTTTGCTCGAGTGGTACTGCGCTTTTATAGCAGATGGATACGTTATAAAATAAAATTGTGTTTCAAATTTCACCCTTATGCTTTAATAGTTAAGACTTTGTGTTGAGTGTATTAGTCAGGACAAATAATTACTATAAAAATAGGTATTGATATAGTGATATTTAGTTATTACATATAAACGTGGTCAACGTGACGAAAATTATTCTAATTTCTTTATCAATTGGGCTACATACAAGTACGAGTAAAAATGTTATTTTAAACTACGTATTTTTTTTGATGGGTGAAAATGGAATGGTAACCTGCGCTAACGGGATACGCTGGCGGAGCACCAGTGAAGGGTGATAGATGAGAATGAAAACAGGCCAGTTAGCCCATCATGATGAATTCATCAGGAATTAACCATGATAGTTTCCAGGGGGAACCGCGAGGAGGTCGACCTGGTTAGGTATATTGCTAGCAATGGGATTCTCAGTCTCCATTACTAACAATCCTTTTCTCCTAAACTACGTATTAGGTACGCGTAAAAATGTGTTGATTTTAAATTACAATATAAATTTTTAGAAATAAAATTGGCTTCATCAGCGTGTTACTTGATAGTTATTTCACTGCAACATTTACAAAAATGTATAGTACAAAAACCGAACTTTTGTTATCTGCTCCTATTTATAGTTATGTTATGTTAGGTTATGTGCAAAATTTTATTTTAGTTTTGCAAATATCGTTTGTTCGTTTAAGCTTTATTGTATATTCACATTCGGCACAAATATTGGTGTATAATGGAAATGACAAGGTACACAGGCGGACTTATCCCTTGAAGGGATTTCCTCTAGTCAACCCTTGAGAACCCGAAAGGACTAAAGGGTTTGTATATAAATCGTATCATATATAGTGCATGAATAATATGATAATAATAATTGATAACGATATAATACCTATATTGATCTATTTAATTGGGTTATTAATATAAATTGAAACCAGTGAACCGCTTTTTTTAATGGATGATAATGAAATGGTAACCCCGCCTGCGCTAACCACTGCGCATCAGTGAGGGTTGATAAGTAAAGATGAAAGAGCAGGTTAGTTAGCCTACTGTTATGAATACACCTGGAATTGAGCACGATGGTTTTCAGGACCACGTGGAGGTCGACCTGATAGAGCACATTACTAGGAATGGGATTGATAGTCCGCATTACCAACAATCCCCTCTCCCCTAGTTAACCGCTTGAAAATACAGTTCAGAAAAATAATATAATTAATAATACTTGATGAGTACATAAAGTTATATTTTTATTTAGATCGAGGTTATGACATAAATTGCTCTATATATTTTTATGTAAACATACTCTATACAGATAGTTTTCATTACCTAATAATTACCTAAGATTCCCCTATAAATGAGGATATAATCCAGAACATATAACATTAATATAATATATATTCAAGGATTTTTTGATAATATCTCAAAATGGCGCTACTTAGAAAGTCGTTCTCTCGCTGTCTCTAAATAACAATGATTTCTCATTGATATAGATCAACGATAATTATTTCAGATGTCTCTCATTTCAAACTTTGAAGATAACGGGGATGATATATTTTTTAAGGTTTGCTGGAAGAGAACTCTTGTAAGCTCGTCTGTGTACAACAGGCGAGCTTACAAGAGTTCTTTATTTTATATAAATTATAACAATATAAATTTTGTGTACAATAAAGTATAAATAAATATTTTTTTTATACAACTTAGAATGGTAAACAAGCTGACGGACCACCTAATGGAAAGTGGTAACCGTCGCCTATAGACATGAGCAGTACCATGGACACAACAGAGTATACTGTTTCGCCCATGATACCCCCCATGCGTTGCCATACCTGAGGATTCAGGTATTATTCCTCTGTACCCTGTAAATTCACGCTCTATCCCATTCTTCAAACCGAAACACACCCATGCAAACACAACTGCTTCATGGTAGAAGTACGAATGCGACAGAGGTACCCAAGCAATCGACTTTTGTACAAAATCTCCCTCTGGTATAAATATACATGTTCTGTCATAACTGAAAAATTATGAGCTATAAAAAGGAATAAAAATCGATTTCCTATTAAAAAAAAATTAGACGTACATATTTAATTACCGAATAAGTTAAAAAATAAAGGAAAATAATGATAATCAGATTACGTCAAATCTTTTTATTATGCGTACGATGAAAAGAAATGTTGCCAAAACGAATATACTGCAATTCTTGACATAGAAGTCTTATCTTGGGATTTTTATGTGTAGCCAGAATTGACAGTAGCTACTTATCAGATAGGCCGCCCCGATGTCTTATAGAGGTTGTTAGTGCGCCGTATCGCTACAAATACATCCAGCTATTCGGCTTAGGATGAAGAAAACTCTTCACGAGTTTATATTCTATTTATCAGATTGTACGCCAACATTTTCTTTACTTCAAGTAAATTAAAATATTAATTTAAGATTTGTATAAAAAAAACCGACTTCAGTTGAGTCATAACCAGTTATTTTGATTTAAAAACTAAATTACTGATCTAAAATAGTAGAAATTTCTATGGGACCAATCTGGACATTCTTTCAGATAAAAAAAAATCTCAATCGGTTTACGGACTTATGAGGTAACAAACATAAAAATAAAAATAAAATACAACCAAATAGAGAAACTCCTTCTATTAGAAGTCGGTTGAAAATAGTATGACTTAGTTTACTAAATAACTATTAAATATTAATTAATTAACTTGCTGTAACCGGTGGCTTTGCAATCCCGCATTACCGCATTCTAGCGATTTCCCGCATGTCAATGAGACTTGAGGAATTCCCGCATTTGTGCAGTAAATCCCGCGTGGAAAATTTTTGTACAATTTACTAGTAGAAGCAAGAAGTACGTTAAATAGATAGAGAATAATATGTAGCCTATTAATATTATAAATGTAACGCATACACTAATGGACGGATTTATAGTAAATTTTATACATGAGAAAGATATTTCCAAACTTAGTATATAGGATACTTTATATTCTAATTGACGTGGGTGAAACCGCGGAATATAGCTAGTAACTGATAAAAGTAACATGTCAATACATGTTGATTTCTGTCGATTGTTAGTAAATAAAAAAAAGTTTTTAATGTATATAACGATATTTGTTTGATTTTTAAACGTCAAGAATTATTTATATCTGGTTTGATAAAATATATACCAAATATAAATAATGTATATATACATTTCATAATGTGGGGATTTTTATTTTCATATTTAAGTATATTTTTAATCCATTACTATTACAGCAAAAAAAATGGGTACTTGCAAATAATTTTTATGCCTATTTATTTACTATTATAAGAATAATTAAAAAAAATAATAATAAAACGCCCTTTCTAGAAGTAACAAATTTAAATTATAAGATAGAAAAAAGTATTTTTAATAGAATATGCGGGAAATCGAAATTCGGTAAATCGAAACCTCGGTATGAGTTAAATCTCTTGCGGAAATTACAGCGGGATCCCGCAGTAATTATAAATTTACCACAAATTTCCAGCTGCAAATAAAGACTGCAGGATTCAAAATATTACTCGTGTAAACTGAATAAAAATTAAATATTCTAAGTTAATCTAATTGCGATAAAGTTGAATACAAATTTCACTCATGAACTGATAAGTGAATGAACCAAGAGATGTATTTATAAACAAAGATAAATTACTTGATTCTATTCTATTTCTCTGTCTACACCTTAAGAGGCATAGTGTGAAAATATGAATATAGACGAACAAAGTAAGTTTTTAGCTTTTTTCGTTTTTTATATACAATCTATCAATTCTATGCTATTTGTTCAATATACTTGTAAACTATTTAAATAAATCTCTTCATGAACCTATCAATCTTAACAGTGAAATCGGTACATTCAAAAACAAGTTGTAGAAAGTGATAAAAGCTAGTAGTGTGCGAACTCCCTCGGCGGCACATGCCGATATCGAGACGCATCGACAGTAGCTACGTATAGAGATCGTGTGTACTCGTGCACGGTACATTCGGGATGTTCCCACTGGTTGATCGTGTGGGGTCGGCCGTCGCCCTCTTCGGCAAGTGTCGCTCTAAGTTGTCGGGCAAAGTTTGCGCGGCATGGAGCATGAAGCACCCGCCAACCTCCCCCATCGATCGAAGCGGCGGCGCGCGCACCACCCGCCCCACATATATACCGATGCCCTCTCAGCACAACCTCACAACGCAAGAGGACGCGCGCGACCTGCAACGCCGCTCGCCCGGGGCGCCTATTCTATTCTCTATCTTTCTCTGTTCGTCTGTCTCTCGCTGATGCGGTCGCGCTGAGGCTGATGCGGGCGCCGCCATGCCGCGCTGCCTCATGGCCAAGAAGTGGAAGGCGGCCCCGGCTGCGGAGCTGGCCGACGAGTCGGATGAGGAGATCGACGTGGTCGGCGAGGGGCGCGGCCGCAGCCCCGCGCCCGCCGCCACCGCGCCGGGGCCTTCGCCCCGCGATCCCGAACCCACGCTCCTCTACAACGGTGAGTTCCCATCTTACGTTACACTTTCAAATTTCAGCCTCTTCTCGTGGCCTCATTTCGCATTTCCTCGGAGCCAAAACAAAATTCAAGGTCGTACAACTTTAATTACGAGTCTGACACGTTGTCTAATTTATTATTTAGTTTTTTTTTTTAATTTATGTTAATATTTTATGGAAGAATTCATTAGCGTTATTGCGACTGCTTAATATTTTGCGAATTCTAATCAATTAACGTTATGCTATGCGCATGCGAGATACATTTTCTCATGTTTTCCTATATTGTAAAATAAACATGGAGACTACAAGTCGTGCCTTCTTGAACTGTGGTATGTTATGCAACAGTTATAGGTGTTGTATAAAATAAACAACGGTAAGGACAATACTGAGATCAAACTTATCGTAATATATTCTACAGGTAGGTATGACAAAAGTATGAAATAAATAAATATATCTTTCGTAAACAAACATAACAATCAGTTTCTACAATTTTTTTTTTAAATCGATAAACACGCGAGAAACTTTATTGAGATTGACTCTTAACATCAATATCAATGAAAGTTCCTTACTTTTAAATGCTATTTTAAATTTTAATGTAAATAATAAAATATTGATATGTCGCGTGATCCAAAATTGATAGATAGCCGAGAATATTCTATATGTTTAAAATTTATATTCCAAAATAAAATAGAGACAATTAATATGCACGTGTGATTTCAGACACATACAATATTATAGGTGATGTACGTTGGTTACCACTTCAGTGATAATTCTACTGGAAAACTGTAATTATAACTTTATTTATGACACATTCCATCTTTGACGTAAAGAGATACATTTCTTTCTTATTTCTCTCTCGTGGATGACTACGAGAAATATTCACTTGTAAAGCTTTAAACTTAATATCAGATAATTAGAAAATCAGGAAGGTCTGTTTCAATAGAACTCAATGAAAATGTAAACAAACAAATAATCAACTCAATGAGAAAATAGTCTGCTGATATCTAACAACAAATACTATAAACAATATTTAATTAACTAATTTAATAGATAAATATTTCGGACGTTAATAATTTTAGATATAATTTAAAAAAAAACTCGGTCATTAGTTCTATTGAAATAGCTTATATAATAATCTATTATACATTAATATTGAATTGGCATTTATATACAGAACAGTAATTTCTTTCATACAAAGTTATACCTAAGTATAATAAATAAATCTTATACGCTGCGCTACGATAAAATTTGTTTACGATGCGCCATTAATTGCTTTACGATTCAGGATATATTAAGTGTTAATAACACCTATATTTGATTGTTCGAAATATGATCACTATAATGGCCAATCAACATAATATGTTACGCCTTAGTCGTTGAGTTGTAAAACGTACGACGTACCAGGAACAAACTCATAAAAAAAATATTCGATGCAGTCAAAAGTAAAATGGAAAACTAAAATGCCTTCTTTTACACTAAAACACCTTTATATTGGCTAGCTAAGGGTCTTGCTGTAGTGTCTGTATCCTGTCCAATCTAAACGAGTCTATATATTCCGATACTAGATCTTTTATTTTTGGATTGAATATTTAAAGTCAACCAGTCAATAATACCTCTTCTAAAGGATACTTACGAAAGTTGAGAAGAGCATCTTCCGTCCTCATAAACTTATTATGTCTACATATGTGTGTATATGTACGTATTTTGTATGTGAAGAGATATTTTATGTTTATGTATATATGTATTATTGTATACAGATATGTATGTATTTTGATATTAATTATATGAGTTACTTTGTATATACATATGTAAACATATTTATTATTTTTTTAATAGAAACATCTATAATGTTTCCTTCTATTATTGTACGCATACTGCCCGCTGGTAATTAATGCTCCTTTCCACTCAGGGTTTGCTGGAAGAGAACTCTTACAGAGTTGAGTAAGCTGGCCTGTAATTCTTGTATTTTTTTTTTGTACAATAAAGAATAAATATAATAAATAAATAAATAAAAGTTGACTGTATGACAGTACTATGTTATTCTTCCGATCTCTCTTAGATTCTTTTGATACTACGAAATATATAGTAACATATAAATTAAACAATTTTTCATGTCTTGACATATTAGCAATCAGCCAAAAGTTTAATAATATCTCGTGGAATCACTCTTCATTTTTACTCTATATTTGTACATAATGATCGTATAACGTAACATAGTGTAAGAAGCCCTTCTAAGGGACTATCACTTTCCATCAATCGGTTGTCAGTTTGTTTACCCTTTTCACCATTTTACTGTTAGTTTAGTTATCCGATTAAATTTGGACGGTATTACACAGAAGTACAACAACATCCTTTACGACCTTTTTTAAACTCGATATTTCGGACCGGATTGGATCACCGCGATTGTTGTACGATCATTAAAATCCTTAGTTCCCAAAGTGGTCCAGGTGGACCCCTAGGGGTCTACGGGAGACTCAACAGGGCGTTGGCGTGACAGTAAATTAGGGGTTCACAGTTCGTAAGCGTCCACGAAAAGTCAATTATATTATTATACAATGTAATATGCTAACAATAATTAACAGTGTAACAATTACATATTTGAATAAATACGACACAAAAAAAAACACTATTTTTCTTTCTATTTTTACCACTTCGTATGAGTATTTTTCTAAATGAAATAAGTGAAAATTGAATGGTTTCTTGTTCTATGAGTATATTTTAAAAAAGTAAAGTTGGATAAAAACACTTTTTTGATTGGCCAACTTTACTTTGTTGACACAACACAATCAATTAATAATTAACCAATCAATTCTCACTTTTTTTTCGAAAATAAATAATTCGTGGTTGGAACTCAGCCGCAACGCAAATTTCCATAGTTACATCTGCAGGAGGTCCACCGAAACCAGCTAAATTCTGAAAGTGATCTATTAAAAAAAAGTCTGGGAACCTCCGATTTAATTAAACAGCCTAAGTATATCTAGTGTTTCTCAACTACCTACTTCGGTATATATAGTGTAGCAAAAGTATTAACGCACAATTAGAACATTCATTTAGTGCTCAAATAATTTGCTGGTACACCCGTATTTCCCATAAAAGAAGCGTATGTAACATTATATATGATGGTATAAATGGATAAACAGAACATAATATGTTCCAGTCAAAAAAATAGTAAATCGCGATCTAGTTTTCCATTAACGCCGAATAATCGCCTACTCTCTTTCAAACTCACGCTATTGAGTAAACGTAAAAGATAAATATGGTATATTAGGATATACTCTTTACCATGTGAAATAACCAAACATTTGTATTTCGAAGTACAAATATCGATTCATCAAAGCAATCGCTTCACAGATAAAAAAATAAATACCACATAGGTATTTGTGAGTCTGTTACTGTGCTTCACTTTGTAGTGTACGTACATGTCTATTGAACGATCGCATCAAATGCAATGGAACGAATTCGAGAGTATTTGGCAATAAAATGAGTTTTCCAGCGCACGTGAAAAGCTGATCCGAATGAACGGTATTCCAGTTAAAACCTTTTTCGCTCACCAATTTCGGAATCAAATTAACTTTTGACAATTGAAAGAGTGTTGAAATGTTTTAAATATGTTATTAAAGAGTTGAGAGAGTCGAGTAATAGGCTTATTACTAAATCAAAAAGAAACAACAGAGGATCTTACACAGCGTCGTCCAGGCTCAAACTAAACAAAATGTGTACTAAGGCTTCTAGACTGATAGATATAGTTCAATACTTTTTGTATGTCAATGCATACTGATTATATATAGAAAACACCCAGACCAATACAAACAATCATACTTATGAATATAAATGTTTGTATCAAGCGGGGGTTAAACTCGTAACTCCGGAGGGTAAGGCCCCAGATTACTTATCTTACGGTAAGACAGTGCGTCAATTCGTTACATCACTAAGGTTGTCAAGAGTCGAAAGATTCTTTAGAAAAGGGTATTTTAAGGTTTCTTCAGTGTCGGCAACGTGCCACGTGACACCTGTAGTGTTGCATAGGCTACAATGAGCGTTTACCATCAGACAGGCTGTATCCTTTTTTGCCATCTTCGTAGTTTAAAAAATTCCAAAGTCCAAATAGTTTTAAATGGTAAACAACAATATAAATTTTCTTTACGAAAAAAGAACATCTATATATATATATATATATATATATATATATATATATATATATATATATATATATATATATATATATATATATATATATAAAAATTTGAATTTTAAATTGATGCTTTGGATCAATACTATGGTATTAACAATATATAATATAAATCGTAACACTCATACTCATTTTTATACTTAATAAACGTAACTTTTTAATAAACGCTTCTATTTGAGTAATTTAAAAAAGAATTTACATATACATAATCAACTTTGCTTATGAAACTATTTAGTTAAGGATTAATATCATGTTACGAACACCATCATCTGTCGATTCTATTCGTTATATTTTGATTGACTAATTCGTACAAAAAATGGTTATTGTGACTTAACTATAATTATAATTAAATAATTATTAAGAACAAACAAACAATCAATCAAATCAAAATTACCCTTTGTGATATTAGTAGGATACTTTAAATATCAATTAATATGGAGAAAGTAATGGGGAATAGATTGGAATTAATTAATACTGAATGATATTGTGTTTGCATGGCTGTGTTTCAGTTTGAAGGGTGGGATATGGCGTGAATTTACTGGGTACAGAGGAATAACACCTGAGTCCTCAGGAATGAACGCATGGGGGTATCATGGGCGAAATAGTATACTCTGTTATGTCCATGGTACTGCTCATGTCTATAGGCGACGGTTACCACTTTCCATCAGGTGGGCCGTTAGCTTATTGGCATTCTAAGTTGTATAAAAAAAAGATAATAGAAATTGACTTATTTGCCATGTTTATTTATTTTCGATTACGTTAATTAATAATATTAATGCTGTCCATTAATAACATTAATTAGCTTTACTAGTAAA